TTTCATCGAATATGAAGACCACAAATTTTATAATTTGGACTGCGATTATGTAAATGCGGATTGTGAGCGTATCATATTGTTACGCCCGGGAGTCGTTCTCGCGTAATGTACGCGCTTCCGCACTCGCGTTCGCGCACGCGCACCGGAAGGCCGCGGGAGGAATAAAAGGAACACCAAATTAAGAAAAACAAGGAACACGCTTTATTGTAATGACTGTGAACAAATAACGCAGCGAATAAATAGAGCAGGGTAAAGCACGTCCGAACGAGTCGACGGCTCGTCTCCAAATCTAATGTGTCGCTAGTTTGACAGACGACAACGCGTCGTCAGGGAAACATCTGACAGCTGGACCGGCTCGCTGGTACATCGAACGACGCGGGCAAAGACACGGGCGTAACAATATTATTGTAATATTCTTTAATTTTATGTTAGGCATTAACTGATTTCTATTAACATTGAAAATGACCCGTTCGAGGTCGAAACGTTTGTTCTTTAAATCGTAATGAAATTGTTTAATTAATAAATATATATATTGGAGTGAAACAACACCTAAGCTTTGGCTTGTGGCCCTTTTTTTACTTTGTTTATTGATATTATTAATTTTTTTTTGGAGAGCCTAATCTTCAGTTTTTGAACAGAGAAATTTTAGCCTTGTATTAATGGAAGAAAAAATAAAAGGTAACGGATATCCATTTTTGAGAAAAATGTGAATCAAGTCCTCCAGATTTTTTTTATGGAATTGAGGATGGGAAAGCAGAGTAACACTCTATCTACCAAATTAAATAAGTTTCCTCTCTTATGACAGATAGGGTGTTGTGAGTTGAAGTTTAAGAATCTGCCCGAGAAAGTAGGTTTATTGTATCGGTGAAAAATCATTCCTTGTGTTGGTATACGATCTCGAGACGTTTGCATTATCTATGCTATAGGAGCGCGACAGTCGGGCACATTGTGTAGATGGTATTATTTTCATTTTTTGTGTTGTAACGGTGTCCACGCGCACCCGTAGTCTCAATTCTTTCTGTGATGCGTTGTTGTACGGATCAGTCATTGTACTTATACTAGAATATACGTAGTGAACTATTATTGTGATCTCATTAATACGATCTTTCCAAGGTCATACGTTGCACTGTTCCCAACACCCTGGCTATCAGCTATTATAGTTATCAATAAGGAAATCAATACGGTCATCCTTACTAATTTCAATGATAAACTTTAAGCGATCATGCAACAAATTAAAACGTTTAATATAACGTAATTAAAACGTTTAAACGTTCTAAAGGTGCAGCTAAAATGTCATCGCGTATCTGTAGTAAAACGATAATTGACATGGAAGTTTGCTAATCGCTACGTTTTCTAAGTCATGTAAGACGATGTCTGCTATCGTCGACAATGCTGGACAGCCCATCGGAGTGCCAAATACTTATTGATAAAACATATTATTAAAAGAGAAATAGGTAGAATCCAAAACCAGTCGAACCACGCTCAGAAATTCATCTTTTGGTATAAGGATATTTCTTGATATATAATCCCATCTTTTTGAGATGCTTCCCATAGCTAAATCAATCAAAACCTCTTAAATCGGGGTGCGCGCGCCGGCTCGTTACGCATATTCGCAGGCAGATGGTCTCAGACTGCCAATTTTCTTACAATATTTTAATTAAAGAGTTACATTTATTTGGAACATATAACACCCTGCTTTAATTCATAGCCCTTTATTTCTTATTAATTTAATATTTATTGAGCTGATGAATTTTTGAATAATAGGTATAAAAATATGAAATTTTGCTTAAAAACTATTATTGAAATATCAAAAATTGTGAGCTTTAAATAATTTTCAACACACATTAGTAGATAGTATAAGTGGGTTCCGGACACAAAGTAGGTCAAGGTCAAGAGGGGAAGGAGAATGTAGATCAAGGTCAAAGGGGAAAGGGGGAATGTATGTCATGGTAAAGGGAAAAGGGGAAAATGTAGGTCAAGAGGAAGGGGTTAATTAATTAATTTTTTATTATTATTATTATACAATTTAAAGGGATATATTAATTAATTAATTAATTAAATGATAATTAATCAATTAATCGCTAATTAATTAATTAATTAAATTATATCAATCAATTAAATGATAAAATAATCGATTAAATGGTATTTAATTAATTAAATGACAATAATCAATTAAATAATAATAATTAAACAGTAATTAATTATTAAATGTTATCAATAGATCTGATAATTCTAACTCCGTGGAGGGTTTGCCGGCGCCGCCGCCACCGCCATTTTGGACGCGGTGGCGTCATTTTGGACGCGGTGACGCCATTTCGAGCGCGGTGACACCATTTCGAACGCGATGACGCAGCAATTTTCTCTCTCTCTTTCCCGTTAGAAGGTTTTCGAACTTGTTCTTCCCCGTTTTCGTTTACGTTTTTTTTATACAAGTAATGTATAATTATTATTACTATTGATCTTAACTACAGGGAAGGGAAAAGAAATAAAAAAATGTTTTTTTTTAATCAAACATTAATGATACATTTTATTTTTCAAATCTTGCAATTCTTTTTGGCAATCACCTGTTAAATATTTTAAATACATTCTGTAATGTGCAAGTCTTAACATGTTTTCCGCATAATTTTAGTAACATCCATATTATTCTTGAGAAGATTCTATATCTTCATAATCTGCAACCAGAATCTTGATAATTGCGCCATCTCTCGCAACGAGCATATTCGCTAGCCATTCTCGTTTTTCATATTTCTTAAGAGGATGCTGAAAGGTCGGCCAAATTTATACAAGGTCGATAAAGCAGACTCTTCAGTGTCAGTAGTATCTCTAAATAAATTTCTTACAATATCTTTTGGTCTCACTCAAACACGTGGAATGTCTTTATCTAACTTATTGAAGTGCCATCTCTTGGAAAATCCGGCACTTACTGCCAGACGCAATTTTTGCTTTCTTTACTTTAGCCGAGTGTACGAATTACCACAAATTGCATTCTAAGTAATAATTGTTTTTCTACGCTCCCAATCGTTGCTCCAAAGGTCTTGTATTATTCGTGCAAGTATTCCGATTCGCGCGAATTACTTTTTTTGTACATATGAGCTACAGAACTTTTGTATCAATGAAATGTTTACGTCAGGTGACAGGTTATGATTGCTCTACGATACGGAAAAAGGTATTTTTAATATTTTTCGTTTTACTACAAATTTATAATTCGCGCGTTTACATTTTATCTCAATTTCAATCCTGTAAAAGCGTTTTCAAATCCGTTCAGTCGTTTCGGAGTTATTACTTAGAATGCAAATGTCGGTAATTTCCGATCTTTCAGCATCCTCTTAACGTATACGAGAACCTCATCGTCGTCGTTGTAATCATTTTCTTCCGCACCAAATACAGCTATTGTAATCAAGTGTTTTGCCTTCCCTTACGGAAAAAACTTGTGGCACTATTGAAATGACAACTAATGAATAACTATTAGTGCACACATCAATAGTAATTTCGCGCACTGTTGGAATTCGCACTAGTAGTATTAATTAGTTACTATTGATGTAGTATGTACTAATAGTTACTCAATGCATACAGAATGTACATAACCAAAAATAATTAAAAATAAACGTTTGTGAAATCAGAATGAAAATCATTATAAGATTAAAAAAACAATTTACGGTGTTTTCAAGGATCATTCCCCCCAAATATAACAAATATTTACATCTAACGGTCACCCATCCAAGCCACGACCGCCCTCAACGCTGCTTGACTTCTTTGATCAGGAATTGCAGACACTTCGTGATGATCCATTATTATACTCAATGTTAATGAATATACATATATCCATAATAGATTGTATTAATAAAGTTATTAAAAAAATGAAAATATATTTTTTTATAAATGTTAATAGGATACTGCAGCAGTGTTAAATACTAATAGGATCACTGCAGTAGTGCTGAACACTATTAGTGTCACTAAAAGTATGTTCTTTTATACATTATGCACCTGACGTATTATTTTATCTTGGTTTAACATTCAATAAAAACCAAAAATAAAATGATACATAACCTGCATCATGCCTGAAACGGATTCTAAGTATCACTATAGTGTAGTAGCAAACACAAGCATTTACTGCAGTAGTGCTGAAACACTACTATAGTACTATTACATACTGTACAGAATGTGCACTATTATAGGTTGGTTTAATATTGCACACTTCTGCACACTATAATGGTTTGTACTATTTAATGATTGGTATAAGAATAATATATACCGTTAAATGTTTGCAATAGTGGCTATTTCAGTAGTTCTTACTATTACATTTCAAAAGTTTACACTGGTCACTAGTTAATAATTGTGTAGTGAAAACTACTTATTACAAGTGTTAAAGTAATCATCGCAGTAGTATTGAGTATTTATAACTATTGGCGTACAATAGTTACTATTGGCTTTATTAAAAAATGTATTTTTTCCGTACGGGTTGCTGTACGGGACCATCCCATCTTTCCATTTCAATCCGTGGTGATATGCAATCAACCAGGAAGCGCAAGATCGGATTTTGTCAAAAATTTCTGTGATATGGGATTCTCAAAAATGTAATGCGTGAGAATATTCCCCTTTCTCAATGCTGCCACTTTTTTCACAACAAATCTCCCTCCAATGATGAATCCTTGCATATCGACAAACGTTGGTACAATCATGATGAGTGATTCTTTTAGACTACCCCATCGTAAAATATCTCGCTTTTTACTTGAGATATTTATCAGCGCGGCATTTTACATAATCTTGCGCACTACGTTGGACAATGGATTATATTCAATCACACGGTCGTGTATGATGAGACAATAGGCAGTAGTGTTCGCAGGCGCATTCTGTTTGAACTAAAATTCTAATCGCACATCTACGGGACCATTCTTGATGATGGAATCGTTTTGTCGCGAGCAGTCAATGACTGCCATAGTACAATTTTTCAAAATGTTTTGTTTACACACCGATTAGCGTTTCACTGTTTTTTTATGCAATTAATAATAAGATGTACGGAAACGTGCAAACATATCATGTAAGATAGCAGCTCTATTTTTGTCAAAGTCTAGATTCAGATTATCGTACGGATCAAATTCAGAGTTTAAATAAAGTTTTATGTTGGTTAGTTTACAATTATCGAAGACAGTTTTAACTGCTTTCATGTTATTTTTTTTATCAGTCTGTATAGCAAAGATAACATATCGTGGTTTTTCTAGCTGAGTCGCAATCTTTACAGTCCAGGAATGTTTTGTCGTGCTTGGTAATAGTGGATACTCGTACAGATCCCATGAACGGAAACTCATATTCAGATATCGTCCACTTTCCAAGGCTTGCATGGATAGTTTATTGATGTCATTCAACGTAATGTGAAGCATTCGCCATTGTATTTTGAATAACTCAAGTTTCGGTTTCGTTGCTGGATCTCCCGCAAGATAATTGTTGTCGTTGTGCACTTGTATCAAAATCAATTTGTGACGAGCATTAATTATCACACGTCTGTAATCCTCGCAAAAGCCAAACAACATGTTGAGTGGTACGCAAAAACTAAAGTGTCCGTCAGCAGTGGTGAAATTGCAGTCATCTGCTGAATCATTCGGAGATAAAAATCCAGCATTATGCTTAACAATTATTGCATTGTTCAATGACAACAATACATAGTTCTTTAGAGTGGTAGTTAGTCCAACGTTTCTATTGCGATCAATCTCCACATCGTTGAGTTCATATCGAATTTCATCAAACATGAACGCTACACAATTATTTCCAAGTATTGCTGTAGTGTTTTCATTCCTCTTGTTCAATGTCAATCTTCCTTCGACGTAAAGTGAACTTTCGTATGGCAACGTGTATAAATCCTGTTGTTGTATTGGTATCCTTATTTCGTCGCTATGTTTAAATGACGTGTTGACATATAGATTGTACGTGTGAGTCTCAATCTTGACGATGCTGTCGTCAAAGATCGGCTCACCTTCGATATTCAAGATATTAGTCATCTTAGGTATTTCGCACGATGAATCCTAATGATTTCAAAAATTTAACATTCGACACAGTGAGTTTCTTTTTACTGGGCGCTCAAGTACTTTTGGTTATCATTTCTTTATTAAAAAATGTATCTCTTGTCTGTTTCACTGGCTCGTTTAGCACAAGCTTCTTACGTTATCGCAATCGTCTCCGTATATGCAATCTAACGGTAATTTCCTTGTCATAAAAATCAAGTAATCAGCCGTTTTGATCTACAACGCGAATCGTCAAGTCCATAATGCTCCGTACGATGGTCGGAAGGTAAATGATCTGTTTCGGTGTTTCCGAGATCTTATGTCCTGGCGGTACGCTCGGTAAAACTCATGTATCGTGTGCATGCTCTTCACGTTGCTATATGCATCCGTAATCACATTGCACTCGATGCGAATGATGTTTACGTTGATGATATTTCTCGGAGTGTCTGATTCGCACCACCGTTGCGGCTCCAGGATACGATTTAACGAAAATCCCAACAACGATCCAACGTTGTTATGTTTGGTGAAATTTATTCGACATAAACACTTTACTTCACTCTTCAACGTATTGTTGTTGGCGCGAATCGTTATCGAGCCTTTGCTCTCCTCGTATTCATCACCCTTTGTTTTCTTCATCGCAGCATCGTTGGAATGAGATTGGAAAATTGTGCGTTTCAGATACTTTTCTATGTCTTGTATTTCATACGATCCTTCGGGAATTATAATTTCCTTATCGTCTTTATCAAAATAAAATATATGTTCGACCTATTTACATTGGGTATCGTATAGTAGGTTTCAAAGTTTGTCAAGCCGAGTTCGTAATCGCCGTCACTCAAATCTACGGGTGGAAAGTAGCTTGCCGTGAGGACGTTACTCTTGCGAGACAGCGTAAACGTCAGTGACATGTTTAAACGAATACTGAGTTAAACAGCGTAATATCAGTCTTTAAATTGATCGGCAACAGTTTGTAAAAATTGCAGACACAATTGCCCGCAAATGCTTTGATCATAACGCTGATGAGAAGTGCGATTCTACTCGATTTGACTCACGTTATTTTCCAAATATCGAACCAATTCCTTTGGTTGGTGGTCGAAGATTTTCAAAAAACTGTCGAAATATATAGCACGATTTCCCCTCTTGGAATATGCAACCCAATGAGTACATGGTCCCTCAGCATCATCCAAATTCATGATTCCGCTCTCGTTTTGGTGTACTCCCCCTTTTGGTAAGGCATGAAAACACTTCTAAAATATGAAATATGCATGCGGTTTGCAAGTTGTTGCAGTTGTAAGTTGGTAGTTGTACCCTTGGGCATTTTTAGCGTTTTTTGACGTTTTTTTTTCTTTGCCAAAACTCGTTGTCCGCGCTTGTATGGAGCGAGATAAAGTCCATGACCTTCCATAACACGATTATGACGTTTCAGTTCTTCCAGTTGACGCTGCATAGCTTTATCATCATTCACCGCCTTTGCAACTCCCACAGCTCCACCAATTATCGAACCGAGAACTCCCAATATTGGCAGGATTGGTAACATACCACCACGTTTCGCAACCGGTAGTATTCGCTTGCTCGTTGCATTCTTCTTTTTTTTTGTCTTTGTTTTCAAACTCATACCGATTTTCGTTTTAGTCTTCATAACAGCCAAAACGGCTGTAGCAGCAGTTTTTTCTCCGAAAGTCGAATCTCTCACGATAATGCGTTTCCGCGCTTTCGTGGCGAGTATTTTGTCAGCCACGTGTCGTTCAGCAAGATCGTTACTATGTGAATAAGCAATGTCGTGCTCGCGACACGCCGCGTCCAGCGGTTAATGCTTCGATCGCCTCTAGCCAATCACGTTTCTAAATGCGTTCCCGGACCACAAAACTAATATCCTGGGATATGCAGTTCGAAAGGAAGAGCGTTTATCGTGCGGTTTAACAAACCGCAGTCTTTCGCTGACATTCGCTGCAATTCTTTATCAGCGGTGCTAGATCATCGATATTTGATAACACGGCAAATTATAGTGTTTTAGGCATCGACGATATTGCTGAACCTCCGAATCAGCTTTTATATGCTCGGGTAACCTGCTCCACAATTGATCGACACAATAACAAAACTCTCGCAACAGAACAACTTTTGGTACATACTCTAACTGTTCAGCGTTAAACTGTGTACGTCGCAAGTGTCCGGTACGATAAGAAACATTTTGAATACTGATTCGATCTATGCACCTCTATAAATAGGTCCGCTCTCGGTATTGTTTTTTTAGTTTTTTGGCGTTGGAGAGAAGGAAACATGCGGTTCGTGCGACAGTCGCAGACGATTAAAGTTATGAATTCGACAACAAGATACAGCTAATGCCTGAAAAGATACGTAAACATGGAAACATTCTACCGACTTCTATAAGCAGTTATATATGCGGCCCGTTAAACTGTGGTAAGACAAACGTGTTGATAAGCTTGCTGGAAAGTTCGCACGGCATACGCTTTGAGACGTGTACGTATACTCGAAATCATTGCAGCAACCGAAATATTAATACTTGGAGAGTGTACCGATAGAAGAAATTGGTTATTTTACATTTTCCAATAACAGCGACGTCGTTCTACCGAATAAGCTGTTTCCAAATTCCATTTTTGTCTTTGATGACGTGGCGACAAGTGCGACGTCATAAAAAAAATACTTTGCAATGGGCCATCACGCACACGTCGACTGCTTTTATGTCTGTCAGACGTACGCAAAGATACCAAAGCATCTTATACGTAACAATGCAAATCTGTTGATTCTATTGAAACAGGATGGAACCAATCTGAAATATGTATACAACGATCATGTCAACACTGACATGTCATACAAGGATTTCTATAATATGAATTATGTCGTACTTGTTGGCAGCAAAAGTATGGATTCCTAGTGATAGATAAGGACTGTGTTCTTACAGATGGGCGATACAGAAAAGAATTTATAACGAGTTCGCGTAACGTGGTTAATTGTTGTCGATACATCAACTATGCAACGTTCCTTTAACATGGATAGCAGCAAGAATTGTGAGAGGATCGCGAAGGAGATTGCTAAAACGAGCTATTTAGTTTGGCAAAAATATCGTACTTTGAAAATTGACAAAATGGAGGAAGATATTGCGCTGGAGAGACATTTTAAATCTGTCATCGAACCTCTAAAACAGATTGTTGAAAAAGGGAAGGAATCAATTAAGAGCGAGGCCAACGTTGCGACAAGAATCGGTATTAAGAAGAGAAAACGTGAAGATAACGATACCAATGATGTGGACAATACATTGATCCCATTGAACGATACATTGATCACGTCAACGCCTAAAATAATGCAATAAAAAAAAGAATGGAACGCGTTACCCATTGTTGTAAGTCCCTTTGTGCGCTACTTACAATGTGACACTTAATAATAAGCAGGTCACTGTTGCAATCTAATATTACAACAGTGACCCATAATTATTGAGGACGCTGACGCAGGACTTCGGCGATCTCAATACGTGCGTCCTCCAAAAACTGCGG